GCAGTATGATCGTGACGGGGTGAACCAAAATGGGGGGTAAAAATAATAAAAATTTACAATACTCAATTCTCACATTTAGAGAGTCGAGAATACTTAAAAATGTTCAATGACGTGTGATTTGCGCTCGAAAAGAATTGCAAACGTTCGCGAAACAAATAGATACGTGCCACGAAACTTGTAGTTCTTTTTCTAAGAAAAAAGAAAGATCAAAGAAAGGAAGGTCTAGACTGTCCCGGTTTAATAGAATCGATCAGACCCGATAAGATTGCTTATCAGCCTAGCGGCGACCGTCGACGAGAGACGGAAAGAGGACCGCGAATCTATCTTGGAATCGTATTAACCGAGGGGGAATGTCGTGGGCAGCAGGCCCGGTATAGGGCGAAAAACTCACGACCGTCCACGGCGCAATTTGTTCCTTTTATCTAGGAAGACCGAAGGGGTTCGTTGTTTTTCGCCGTTGGACGCGGGAGAGGAAACTACTCGCTTAAGATAGGCTATCTGGTCGAAAGGGAACCCCTTCGATCCTGCAGTATCTCGCCTTCGACGTGCATCAACCGCGTCGACCGAGCACGTCATCGTTCTAATTAATTCCAACGCCCCACGCTCGATTGATCAAGATATTGTGGCCGGCGCAATTAGCGGCCGGTCGTTCGACAGTTGATCGATGCACAGGCGCCTCCGCTCGTTTCCAATCGGCCGATGGGAAACAGGATAATAAAAAAAAAAAGAGAAGGAAATAAAAATAACAGAAAAAAGGGGCGAAGAGAGGAACACGAACAGGAACACGGCCACGAACGCGTCGGGTTTGTACGTACGCACCGCATCCCGGATGAGAATCGACGAGAGGTTCGAGGACCGTCTTCGCGTACCTTTTCTCTTCTCGTCTCTCTCTCTTGTGGAAAATAAATGAGCCTCGAAATTGTAGCGCACCGGTGGTACCGGTGTTTCGATAACGCCACGGACCACGGGTATCGAGAGACTCCTTCGTCCCCGGGGCTGATTTAATTTCCCTCCGTCGTGTCCTGTCCCAGGACGGGGAACGAATTTCACCGGGGACGATACCTTGGCGTTTCCTTCAAGGTTGACGCTATCGTCCCTCCGAGCTAACGTTGTTTGCGAAGTTAATGGCCAAGTGTACAAAAGTCAATACTTGGACTCGACGCCCGGAGGAATCTATCGGTTGCGGCCGAGCAACGTGGAATTTTTGCGCCGGAGAGGGAAAATTAGGGTTGCTGGGTAATTGCACGGAGCGAACTTTTGGGGAAGAAGCCACGACAAGAAAGTATAACGCAACCCCTGGTGGGAAAGTTTTGGATTTTATGCATTGACCTTTTACTCTTCAAGAATTCGCTTTGAGGGAAGCAATTTACAAATTAGAAAATTAAGGCTTGTTGGACAATTGCACGGAGCAAATTTTGGGGAAGAAGTCACGCGAAGAAGGCATAATGCACCCCCTGATGGGAGAGTTTTGGATTTAGAATATCCCCCAAAAACTTCGAAAACCTAGTCGCCGCTGTACGTCCAGTAATTGGGCCTCCGACTCTATTCCGAATAGTTGTATAAATTGGTGATTTCCGGCTTTTGGAACGAAACGAATAGTTTGTATCGATCGGTGGAATTTTTTCATGCTCGGCGCCGAAAAGCCCTAAATTATCGATTGGCCGGTTCGAGTCCCGCTGACGGGTTACTTTGATTATTAAACCCCCGTCTGCACGACCCACAATTCCGCCCGATATCACCGTGCTCTTATTATTATTCCATTTGCTAGCGGTGGTCGGCGCAGACTCGACCGGCAAATGTAATTTGCCCGAGAGTATCCTAAAGACGTAATGTCATTAGCCGCGCGGCTCTTTTCTAGTATTCCCGAGCCACCTCTTTCTCCCTGTCCCTTGGTCGTCCGTCCCTGCGCCACCCCCCCGCGGCTATTCAAATATTTGACGCGTACAGACTGCGCGCGCCACTCGCGCGTTTAATTCCACGGATTCGGGATTTTCCAGCGATATACCAGCCGCTGGATGGCTCGAACGCATCCCGATAAAACTATTACTTTGCGACGGCGGCCCGGGGGAACCTTCTCCTTTTAAAAGGCCGCTTCACGGCGTCCCTCCGCGGCCGGGCTCTAACTTATGACCTCGAATCTCGATGGGGAACGTGACCCGACGGCGTAACGCGCGCGAAATTCCCAAATCCCTTCGCCCTCGTCCTGGCAACGTGCCTGGGTCATCATTGAATGGACCGTACGGCCCTGGCGGCTCTCACCTTGCACAAAACACCTGGCCTCGAGATGTTAGCGGGATAGACACCATCCAGTTTGAAATGCAATTAATATAAACGGCCGTTGGGATCGACTTTTCTATTTAACACGTCATTTTTGTACTTAAATGTTGAGGCAAAATGAGTTTGTAAAAATCAGAGATGCTTTGGAACTATTCTGGAAATATCGTCCACACAAAAATTGATCTCCAAGGTCGGAGAAAACTACCTACCATGATCTAAAACGAACTCCTGAGGTCACAGACATTTATTTACAGAATTACGACTAATAGAACGTCTCCAGAGGGGTTAAAAAAATTAATTCTCGTACTGAAACGTTAAAGATACTTTGGAACGAATCTAGATCCGAAAAGACTATACCTAGTACGATCTAACATAAGCTCAAGGGTACACGAGAGTTTGTTTACAGAATTGTCGCGTGAATAGGTAAAGAACCGAATACGCGTGTGCAAGGTTGCACCGCGAAGGGTAAATGGTACTCACACGTATGACGATGGCGGCCAGTGTGGCGACGATAATTCACCCTGGCGAGGGACGGTCGTTTCCGGTGTTATCACGGCCACTAGCCCCGTGGAAAGGTCTATTCGGTCGGTGGACCGACGTGATAAAAGTGGTCTTGACGGCGGCGCATGTACGGGCCGTATTTAACATTTTATTCCCAGAAGCGTCGCAGTTTTCCGCGATACGGGTAATGCGATAAATTATTCCGCGTTTCGCTTATCTTCGCACCATCCCCCACCCCCCCTGGTATCCACCACCCTGTAGTTGCTCCCGTTTCGACCGCTTCTTCCGCGTCGTCTTTCCACGCTGTGTGAGAGTTCCTTCCCCCTCCCACCTCTCTTCCCTTTTTTTTTTTCTTGCAAGCCGTCTTGCTCGTTTAATGTCGACGTTATTTAGCGCGCGCGTGGGAAAACGTTGCCCGGTTTGAGTTACAACTAGCGCCGGAAGGGAGAGAACGAAGAGTGTTTTGGATTAACGCGAACGGCGCCTGGATTCCCCGACAGCCCCAACTTCGGGAGCCCTCGACTATCCTCGGACCGAAGACACCGACGTCGAGGAATCGCGAAAGACAAGCGCTTGGGTCGCTTTCGACCCGTGGCAAAGCAAACTTTTATTGTTCTGAATAACCAGTGAAAAATATTTATGCAATTTTCTATTTAAATTTTAAGTTTGCCCGTAAATTCGGAAAGCATCGAAATTCCAGAAGCCATCGAACCTGTTAATCTCCAAAGTAGCTGTAAACGGAAAGAGAAACAGCGTGGTGGGGATAAGTCCTCGATGGCCTTGAGCAACCAGTTGATTTTGATCCGATTATTGGATCGAACGGTCGCTTGTTCCCCGACGATAGAGAAAATGGAGCTTCGCCCTCCGGGGCCGGGAAAAATCTTTAAGAGCACGGATGCAAGAGCAATTATGAATTCCGATGGACATACATTTTTAATTGCTCTCGTTAAGGCTGACTTTAAACCCGAGCTTTTACTCTTTGTGTCGATATTAATAGGCGAAATAGCATCAGAATTTGAAAGTTCCATAAAAATAGTGTACTTTCAACTTAAAATAAAAAAAAAAGTAACCGATATTAATTAATAAGAACGCAGGAATCGCGGGGAACTCGCGTGTGCCGTTTCCTCGTAATTACCGTGAAATAAAATCACTTCTCGCTCGTATTAATATCTCTCGCGAAGACAAAGGGAAATCTTTGTTCGCCGCGTTAATTATAAATCGGTATAATTAGTAAAATAAGCGTTTAACGAGCATTATTGGAGCTGTTACTTGTCTCGTAAAGTGGTTGAACAATCGAATCGTATAAAGCGTAACGATAGAGCGTGTTTGTTTCGCCGAACGTGCAATAATTTTCAAATATGAAACCGTTCCCATACGCACGAACGATAGCGTAAATAATTACCAAGAAAGCAATAAACTTGCCACGCACCGTCGATTTCTGGTATCTAATCGACAGTCGTTAGCAGCTCCTTTGCTCCAAAGCGCCTATTAGCGCTTCTCCGACTTTCACGGGAAATAATTCATTCGGTCACGGCTACCGAAGTAGCATTTCCAATAACGACCAATAAAAGTTTCGTCTTGACCGTGGCAATAATAACTGCTGATTAGTTATCACGGGCAAGCTGATACGGACGTTGAAAGCATAAACGAGTTTACGCACCGACGAATGATGTCATTATCGATGTATCGTTTGCACGAAATACATTCTCGGAAAGTTATCGTGCAACGCCCACGCGCGGGCACATGGGAAATACTTTATATTAAACCGTGAGCCGGGATCTATAGATCTCTCAACGCCCTAAAATATAAAATGTATGAAAAGATTTCGTGAAAATTTGTAAAACCAACGCGAAATTTTCCTTTTTCGAGTCCTTGCCTCGCGAAAGTACGGGTTAATAACTCGTTAAATCCGAATTCGCCGTCTTCGTTCCACGGTGGATCTGCTCCGACGCGAATAAATTCCAGAGAAGAATCAAAATCGGGGACAGAGCCATCGGGATCGCGCAAATTGAAACGACTTGGCGAAGAATATTAAACTTCCAGCTGCGGCTGGATGGAAATTTTCGAGAGGAACGAGAGATGTGGGGGGAGGGGGGCAGAGGGATGGTTTCACGCGAGGAACGGAAAGAAAGATTCAGCGACCCGCGTGTTAAGCGCGCGCTGCGAACAATATTTTTCACCCCATTTATACAAAACAAACGTGTTTATTTCTCATGGTTCTTTTGCTGAAATGGAAAGTGGCAATTTAATTTAATTAGTTCACGTAACAGATCGTGATTACAATAAATGCGTGATCCGATGAGCGTATTTACAATAATACAAGTACAATCGATAAATTGCAAGATATTTTTTTTTTTTTCTTTTTCAGAAGTTGAGACTCGCTCGAAACGACCAGACCACTAAACGTACAAGGTACAACTTTGCGTGTGTAATGTGTGTGTGTGTCGTGTGTATCGTGTGCCTGGCCCACTCCTCCGTGTGTGCTCGAAAAAAAAGTGTGCGTGAGTATTTACAACGTTAGATATACACAGTATTTACAAGAGGAAATTTCTCTCTCACTTACGTACTAATAAGCGTTTGGCGACCGTTGCTTTTTTCCAAGACAGTCGTGAAAATCTTAGGAACGATGTCTCGCGCGAAGACGTCTGTCTTTTCTCTCGTTTTCTCTCTTGTGCTCACTCTTCCTATCACTCGTCTCACTATCACTCTAGCGTCTCGTTTCAGACGCTATAGGCGGTTCTTTTATCGTCGTTGGATCTCATCGATCGCGTGATCGACAGGAATGAGAACTGGCGACGACGCGTTACTCCGTCTCTCGAGTGGGAAAAAATATATACGATTATATGTAGTACGAAGTAGAGTTCGTCCCCGAGATTTCGGAGTTCGCGTATCGTTCTCGTCTTGTCTCGTGTTTCTTATCGGTTACAATCGAACGCCGAGGTCCGTCGGGATCGACTCGTCGACAGAGTTGGGCGAAATTTTTATCCAACGTCCAACGGGAAAACTTTTCCAACGCGACCGCGCGACTTTTGCCGAAGTATCTTGCCCGCTCGAAAAACCAACGACGAAACCTTTCGTTAAAAAAGAATCGTTGAGACCAGAAACCGGGACTGGATGCGCCAACGCGTGGAAATCAGACGATATTTATAATCAAACAGCGCTGCGATTCTATCTCTGCAAATATAATTAATGGTACATAAATTTTTTTCCATTTTTTTATCGCGATCGTGTCTGCCAGGGTTCATCTTCTCGTTGGACGAACTGTACGATCCTCGAACAACGTTACTCGTTGAATAATAATCACGATTTTAATTAACGAACGGAGCGTTTCACAATCGACGAATAGAACTTTATCTGTTCCGAATAAATTGCTCTTATTGCTCGTCTATTGTTCCAACGAAATTTTACCCATGTCTGCTCGTCCCAGAATAATACGTACGCTTTCTAACTGTGCGCGGCGCTCTCTGTGATTAAATTAATCTCGCAGCTAAATGCATCCAACAACGACGCGTTTTTTTTTTTAATCTTAAGAGGACTATTGTTAGGCTGCTCGAAAGTATGGATACACCACATCCGCGGTGACCGGTTCGTCGGTTTCGACCAGACAATGTCCATAGACGAAGGAATGGCGACTTCGCATTCCTCGTCTCGTCAGTAAAGAATCCTTGCAATTTTTAATAAATGTCCGGCCAAAGGGTCGAAATAAATTGACGCGGCGAAAACGAGGAAAAGCACGGAAAAGTTACTTGAAAATACCGATTGTATGGAAGACAGTAATCGGGGGAAAAAATACTTTCTTTTAAATATGTTAAAAGCGTCGAACAAGATTTCCCTGTTTTGTTCTAGCAATTATCAGAAATTATCCACCCTTGTTTCGATCATTGTCGAGCAAAAGAAGCATTGTTAAATATATTTATTCTCTAATGGATGTATCCAAACCTTGAACAAAAAACGTGTACGTAAATTCTACCGAATTTTTTCCTTCTCTGAAATTACCGAGCAACTCAAAAGCAACTCTCAAACTGTTTGGCTTTGGGTCACGCTCGTTCGCAGAATCCCTTCGAGTAACAATTTCGTGGCTTCTAAGAAACCCACAAACGTCTTCGGAATATGAAGAAGCTTGGCTGAACGTATTAAGCTAGCACAAATCTCGAACGACAGAAATACAATTCCTCCGCGATGACAAGTCCCCGAAAATATACAACTTTGAAACAATGTGCCACAAAAAGTAATTGGAGGATCGAGATAAAAATAATACGGTGAAGCTTTGTCACTCGACGTCCAAACGAATACACTTTAGAAAATATCGAATCTCCTCCCGAGACTTCGAGAAATTAAAACGGGCGATCCTCCGATTATTTTAAGCTCCAATTATTTAAAACTGCGATCTTCTAATTATATCACGGTATAATTGGAACGGAAATTTTGCAGCAACCTAACGCCCCCTCTTCTTCTAAACGTAATTACACATAAATTTATTCGAAAGAAAATGTTAAACGGAGCCACAAAGTGTTTTTCCAAAAGCGGGGTAATCTAAATAATTTAAACGTCTCTATCGATACATCGATCGTCGAAGCTAACGTACAAGTATGTCTCTCTCGTATCGTTCTAAACCTACCTAAGTTTTCGTTCTTTTCTTCGGGAGTGTTGTCTCCCAGAAGGTTTGGAAACCACTGCGTTGCATCGTGAAACTCTGTCGTCCCGCGAATTCCTCGCGGCGACCTAACGTAAATAAAGCCCGAAAATAAATAAAGATGCAGGCAAGAAAGCAACAACTGGCGGCCATTACGATCGATCGAGGTTGCAGTCGCGGCGAAACTGGCGGACGAGGAGTTTCACGAAGAGGCACGGACGAGGAGTTATTTTTTAACCAAGATCGAAGCTCCCGAACGTCACGAGTCTCGCGACCGATAAAAACGCTGAGCCTGAGTCCCATGACGCGACCTGACCCATTAAATTCAGAAATCCACCCACGGACCCACGAAAAACTCGCTCGTTTCGATCGAGGACCACGCGTATTTTCGTACGCGTGATCCACCATTTTGTCGCGCTAGCGAAATTAATTCTGGTCGTCTGTGAGACGAGTTTCGAACCGTCGACGCGACAAGTGGATCTAGAATTTAGATCTCGCGTGCATCTATCGAGTCTTTCCGTAAGTTTTAGTGCTCGAGTAAATTATATTTAAAGAAAATCTGTACACATATACAAAAAAAAATGCTATTCCATGCGCCGTACAAACTTAATACGATCTATTTAACGCGTTTAAAGTTACTGGTACTTCGAGTTGTGCATGCATGAAAATTTGTTAAAGTTGAAACGTGAAACGATCGGATACGGAGAGCCAAGGGTGATTTCTGTCGGCGCGGATCGTTCAACGACGAGAACAATCCGGAATCTACGGTCCTCATTTACTGCCATTTTCTATAATTACCGCTGTATACACGCACACCATACATTCTGTACAAGATCGGTGCAAGAAGAAGCTCGCATCGTTCTCCCGGCTAGTACGTAAAAATAATGACTCGATCACGGTCCTGCGTAACGGGTCGCGTTCCACAAAAACGTCTTAAATAAACCTGGTCTCTTCGATCGATTAACTTTACACGCAGCGAGCGAAGAAAACGGTCGAAAAGCGAGGCGATACCGTAAATCCTCGAATTACGAGATGGCCAACGTATTCTGCATTTCGCCACTTCGATGGCTCTTTTCATAAATAAATTTCATACGGTTTCTGTTGATCGTTAAACGTCTGCTTTAAAAACGTAAAAATAATAATACTTTGGCGTGCAATATTTAATTTTACATCCGTGATACGCGACATATATTAAAAACAAAAGTTTAATACGCGAATTGCTTCTATGAAAAGAGAAATATATTGGACAAAATTTAATAAACGCGTGAATTCAATAGAAATTTAATTTCTGTAATATACGTCTCTAGAATCTAACGTAACATAAATAATTCTAAATTTGAGCACGTACATTCTCAAATACGAAAGTAAATTGGTGCTCGCTTAAGTTTGAACGAAATTATTCAAAACGAAAATGGAAAGAGACTCGAAACTCCGCGAATACAGAAATTTAGAGCGCGTTCGTCAGAAACATTTACCAGAGTTTCTACGTTTCAGGTTCGATCGTGGCCATTCGAGTCCGAAACACCCGATCCCCGTTCGCAGAATTCGACTTCCCCGGAAACCCTACGAACGACCGAACCGCGTGACTCGAGGACTTACTGTGCTCTCCTTACAATCGCTCTCGACATCGCCCCTCCGGGTTACGAGGCTCGTAGAAAATCCGTGGCCGAGCGATTCTAGTGGAAGAGCAAACAGAGTGACGCGCGAGCCGGATGAAACTGTACAAATACCTAGAGCACGCGTCTCCGTCGCGTCCCAATGCGGATTCGCCTATTTATCGGCCGGCCGGCGTCTCCGTGAGAGTTCTGGCGGCGTAACGCGTCTGTACTAGACGAAGTAAGTACGAGGATTGGCCGGATGCGTGAGCGCCTCGCCCGGAGGCGCGTTTGGCACCGGCGGTTCCGGTATGGTGCTGTAAAGATGGCTGCCCCTGGACGAGAGGCTAGCTGGACGCGCGGATCCGGCGTGCAGCGCGCTGTAGCCGCTGTGCTGGTGCTGATGTTGATGTTCCGCGCCGCTGTCCTCGTCCTCGGTCCTGCTGGACGCCGAGCTGACATAGGTGGACTGCGTGGGCGTGGGCGTGGGCGCGTGCACCGGAGCGACCAAAACGCCATTAGGCTTGGTCCAGACGTCTCCGGCGGACGGGGCCGCGGTGTACCGAGCCGGGGTGCGATTTCGGTCGTTCACCTTCTTGCTGTCACGCCGTTTGCCGACGGAGTCGGGCATGGCGAACCGCAGCTTCTCCCAGAACCTCTTCTCGCCCCAGACCACCACGGTGCAGGTCTGCAGGAGCAGCTGGAGCTCCGGGTCGCGGGCCGGTGCCTCGGTGGCCAGCAACAGCACCACGCGTCGCTTCCTCGAGCTGGGTCGAATGTTCTCCAGCGCGGTCCTCAACGCGGCGCGGAATTCGGGGTGCTGCCACTCGTTCGCCAGGAACACGGGCGAGAAGATGATGACGATGCGTCTCGCGGCTGCGACGGCGGGCGGCACCGCCTCCTGGGGCCTGGCGGGCGGCAGATCTCGCCAGTGGAGACACAACGCCAGCCCGGACTGCTCGAGCTCGGCGGCCAAGTACCTGGATACGAAGTCCTCGTCCCTCTCGCTGTAGACGATGTAGCCGTCGTAGAGACGGTCCCTCTCCTCGTCCGGCGGTGTGGTCATCTTACCCAGTCGCAGACCGTAGCGTGCATGAGCCCAGAGACGTACATCCTGACGAAACGCGAATGCCAACGCGACGAACAGACAGATCGCGATCACCGCCACCAACGCGCCCGCCAGAAGCGGCACGAAGTTCGAACCCAGCAACGGTATCTCCTGGATGCCGCGGTGCACGGCCTCCTTGGACGGGTCGCCGCAACGTTTCATGGCCTGCGCCAGCGTCTCGACGCCGTCGCGGCAGTACATCTTCTCCGGGTCGCCTCGATGCTCGGCGAGCCATCCGCGTAGTTTCGCGGCGTTGCCGCACTCGCAGCTCCACGCATTACCCTCGAGGGCGACTTTCGCGCGATCCCCGACGCTTGGCAGAGCCTCCCATGGCCGGAAGTCGACGATACGGTTGCTGTCCAGCCGCAGCACCTCCAGGCTCTTCATCTTCCGGAATGTGGTGTTCCCGACGGTCGCGATCGCGTTGTGATCCAGGTAGAGCTCCGACATCCGTTCCAGCTGATCGAACTCGAAGCCGCGCAGCTCGCGCAGAGCGTTGTCCTCGAGATGGAGGACGCGCAAAGCAGCCACGCCGTTGAACGTGCAATTGTGGATGGCCGCTATGCCGCTGTTGTTCAGAAACAACACCTTCAGCTGACGTTTCCCGATGAACACGTGGCTGCCCAGATCGCCCAGCTCGTTCCCGTCCAGGTAGATCTCGGTGGCGTCCATGGGTATTCGCTCCGGGACGTGTTTGTAGCCGGCGTTCGAGCAGTCCACCACGTTGCTCGACCAGCCGTGGTCGTGGTAGCACGAGCAGTTGTCCGGGCAGGTCATCTCGCAGTCGCAGGCGTCGAAGTCGCAGCAATGGCAGAGCGCGTAGCAATGAGCGTCGTAGCGGCAGAGAAAGTCCTTGGGCTTGAGGGAGAGCAGAGGTCTGCGCGGCGTCGCCCTTGCGTGCACCATCTCGCACATCACCGAGTCCAGGTCCATCACGCGCGGACGATTCCTCATACGGTTCTCCTCGTTGATTTTCGGCAGCCATTCCATGCTGCAGTTGCAGAGTATGGGATTGTTCCCTATGTAGAACTGCGGCAGCTCCGCGTCCTCTGGCACCGGTTGCAGATTCAACGCCGCCTCCTCGAGATTCCTTATCTCGTTCCCGTACAACACCACTTTCTCGAGGTTCCTCTTCTGCAGGAACGTGTCCACCGCGACCTTGCGTATTTTGTTGTTGTTCAGGTAGAGGGTTTCCACGCTGTCAGGCACGTTCGCCTCGGCGATCCTCGTGATTTGGTTGTAGCTCGCGTCCAGCATCTTTATACGCAGCGTGTTCCGCACCATGTAATAATTCCCGAGCTCGCTTATCTGATTCGCGTGTATGTCCAGCCACTCTATGCTGGTCGGCAGATGACTGTAGTCGAACCACAGCAGCTTGTTGTCGGACACGTTCAGCCAGAGCAGGGTCGAGAGGCTGGTGAACGCGCCGCGGATCTCGGTCAGTTGATTCCCGTCCAATCTAATCGCGCGCAGCACCGGGTTGCTAGCGAACGCGCTCTGCTCCACGTGACGGATATAATTGTTCGCCAGGTTCAGCACCTGGAGCTCCGGCAGCGAGGAGAACGCGTCCCGCGACACGTTCTCCAGCTTGTTGTCCACCAGTCGTAGCCCGTAGAGTTCGGTCAACCCGGCGAACGAGTCGTTGTCGATCCTCGACACGTGGTTGTTGCCAAGGTCGAGCGTCTTCAGCGAGCGCAGCACGCGTACCGCGTACGGTATCTCCGTCAGGTAATTCCCGCTCAGCGACAGATCCTGGAGGCCGGTGAGATTGTCAAACACGCGATGATTCAGCGTACGCAGTTTGTTGGTGTCGAGAAACAGCTGACCCAGGGTGGTCAGGCCGACCGTGTGAGCGGGATCGAACCTGGCGATTCTGTTGTGCGACAAGGTCAACGAGTGCAGGTTCGTCAGGGAGCCGAAGCAACCGTCCACCAACGTTTCGATGTCGTTGTGCTCGAGCTTCAGTATCTGCAGGCTGTACAGGCCCTTGAACACGTGGGCGTCGATCTTCGTCAAGCCGTTGAACGACAGGTCGAGAATGACGAGCCGCACCAGCCGTGAGAACGTGTCCCGGTTCACCCAGCGATTCGTCAGCTCGTTGCTGCTCAGGTCCAATTCCTGCAGTTCGTCCAGATTGTCCAAGAGACCGGGCGCCAGCACCGCCAGCGAGTTGTTGCTGAGTATCAGTTCCCTGAGCTCCCTGGTTTTGGAGAACAGTTCCGGCGGCAACGCGACCAATCTGTTGCTGGACACGTTGAGCGCGCGCAGAGCGGTCAAGCCTGACAGAGCGTGATCGCCCACGGCGGCGATCGCGTTGTCCTGGAGCTTCAGAGACGTCAGGCTGTGAAGGTTGCTCAGCGTGCGGTCGGGCAACTCGCTGAGGTCGTTGTTGCTGAGGTCCAGCACCTCGAGGCTCGGTGTGCACGACTCGACCCAGTCGGAGAATCCCAGGGACACGATGTCCTGTAACTTGTTGCGCGTCAGATTTAGACTGGAGAGGCTCTGGACCGGGCAGAGCAGCTCCGACGGCAGGGTCCATAGATTGTTGTCGGCCAGATCGAGATGCTGAAGGCTCGTCAAGCCGCGAAGGGCGTCCCTGTGCAGCTCGAGATTCATCGCCGACCAGTCGCTGTTGTGCGTCCTGACCGATAAACTGCGTAAATTGTGCGCGGACGCGAACACGCCGCCGGGCAGATAGCGAATCTTGCAGTAATCCACGCGCAGCTTCTCCAGCCGCGGCAACGGCGAGAAGAATCCGTGCGGCTCGTCTATCTGGCTCTCGAAGAACATCGTGTCGCTGCACTCCAAGGCCAGAGAACCGATCGAGTCCACTTGAATGGCCGAGAGATTGCCAATTAGGCCGGGCACGTTGGCGATAGTCCTGACCCTACAGGCGAGTGCTTTTTCCCCGTCCTCTCCGTCCTTCTTCCACTCGCAGCCGCTCGGTGCCTCGAGGCTGGTGATGCTGCGACCGTGTGTCGGTCCTACGCTCAGCACCAGCCACAAAACGATCCCCATCGCCGCGACAGCGCAACGAGCTGGCTCCATTCTGCGTATCGTCGACGGGAGTCACGCGTTTCCGGTCACGGGGGCAAACAAACTTCGCGCGATCGAGTCCTACCGTCACGCACTCATAGTCACCAGCACTTGCGTTCAACCGTACGACAGCCGAGCCGGTCGTTCCGCACGCTGTTCGAACAACGAGAACGTACAACCGCGATCTCCTCTGCCGTCGGCCAGGCTTTCTCACACCGACACTGAACCGAACCGATCAACGTAAACACCGATCGGCGGGCGATCACCGCGCGACTACACTCCACATGAATCGAGTACGCGGCTAGACCAAGGATGTCCCGTCGTCAGGCCCTCGTGAGAAACTACGTGCGCGGGTAACGACCGAACCGAGAGCAAACCAAGCGCGACGACATTCCACCAGGAAGGTCGGAGAGCAACTGACTCGAACGCCGAATCCCTATTCTATCGACGGTCACGCACCCTGCATGACTGCCGGCGTGCAGCTTCCCCCACCTCTTCCCCCCACCATCGAGTTTACTTCCATCACCCGCAGGATGTCCCCCACCCCGACTACGGAGTAGTCTCCCGTTTGAACGTGCACACACCACCGACGCTCCGGTGGGCTCTCTTGTAAGCGAGCGCGCACACAATCAACCGCCGAGAGAAACGGAGAGAGTCGTGCGAGAGAAACAACGTTCCACGCCACAGGCGGCTTGCTGCCTCGGCGAAGATGCAACAAACCAGCTGACTGACAACACTACTTACTAGGTAAACACCAAACTGGTTCCTAGGCGACGGCCGCGCATTTATCAAGCTGCTGCCTCTCCCCATCCTGGAGGGGTTCCCTCCCCCTACTTCCCGCGGACGCTTCTTACCTTCCAGCCGCGCTCTTCACGGGGTTGTTGCTGCTTAACAGCCGACGAACGCCGGCCCGTCGCGTTCTTTTACCCAACGTTTTTACGAACGGACGAACCCCGTGATTTGTTGTCTTTGAACCGCTGCACGAGACCCGATTTGCTCGCGACACTTCCGGCGGGAGGAGTAAGCCTACGTCTGGGAGGGGGTCTTTAGAATTCTTCCCACCGACACGATGTATCGTGTTTACAATCCTTGGAACACGATGGGCGACGATTCGGAGCAAGATGGAGGGGGATCCGAATTTGACGCAAGTTTCAATGCTTCGACGAGGGGAGGAGAGACTACAATTGCATTTGCTATGTTTGAAAGATGTCTAAAGAACGTTTGCACTCTTATACAATATATATTTTAACGTTTCTAGTATTAGAATATCATGAATAATTAAATAATTCGACAATTCGAAGAAGCACAGAGTTCAGCATTAATTTTATTAAATGTTTAAGAATTAGAAAAGCGGTAAGTTCGTTTGGATGGAAGACTGATATTTATATTTTGTTAAACATTGCTGTTAAAAATTATTTAAGCAATAACGATCGTGTTACTTCGAGTAGTCACCTAAGATCTAAGCGTGGTTCCGTGAGGGTAGACAATTGGCGCCATCTATGCTGCAGTCTTCGAACTATGCGCTATCTTTCGAAAAGAATCTTGCGCGCGACGAAAGGGAAAGTTTTGTATTACTCGATATACAAATAATAACGTTCCTATCGAATGTTCATTTTAATTTCTTAACAAACACATTCGTTATTTGCCAATCGCAAGACAAAAGCTACTTAATACTACTCTTATCCCCTGATAAAACAATAAATTCAGACACGATGCAAATGTCAAGTGGCAGTCGACGTCTTAACATCGAGATTAACTCTTGATTTGTCTCGCAATTAATTGTCTGCCAATTTGTGGCTACCGATCGCGATACGATCGATCGGATACAACGCGAGAATCGACTTTGTTGAACTCGTATCGCGGCGACGGTTGCTCATCCGTCGCTCGGGGACACGTAAGATGATGAATCACCCGAAGTGTACCGGAAGAGCATGCGAGATTACAAATTCGAAATAGCGACGCTCGCGCGCAATGACGAATGGAGACGTTCGTGGATTCGAGCGCGGATTCTACGCTTCATTACGTATTTACGAGTTGTCAAGGTGATATCACATCTCCGTGTTAAAGATTAACCACCTCGCGTGCCAATTGGAATACTCGATCAGCCCGGCTAAACATTCGTCTAATTAATCGCGAGGCGTGTGAATCTTGTATTCCTTAATCAAGGGCCGCGGACAGCCCTCGGGGGAAAAATGTTCGAATCGAATCGAGAACCTATTGACTTTAACAGATTGGAACGATTGCAAGGATCTTTGGACAGTCTCGTATATATATTTTCGTATCGTCGAAAGAGGAATCGAATTACCAGTATTAATTTAGCGCACCGCGCGTGCTTCGATCGACGCTAAGTAAGTGTGAAATATGGTAACGAAACTCGCGTGCTGAACCGAACTATCCCCTTAACAGGTTGATTTTGTTAACGTCTCGCGAGCACACGGAACAACCAGTTACAGGTGGTCCAGCGGAGTTTACGGTTTCGTTAGATTTACAGCCCGCAGAAGAGGCGGATACGTTTCGTGTGGCACACTTTGCTGTTCGAACGGCCACGGTTTCCGGCTCACGTCGACGACGACCTATTCTCCGATCGCTCGACAATGAGCGTTATTAAACGAGAGAAAATCGGGCTTAAAGACCGGTCGCCGGTTCCTTATAACAGCCAGAATATATTAACGCGTAAATCATTGCCCGTTATGGCGTCGGGAGTCGAGGTGCAGTGCTTGGAAGCCCCGGGAACTTCATTACCAACGACCGGCCGGACTTAAGAAAGACCAAGGAACGATCCGAGGCGAGTTTACAGCGATATTAAAAATTTTTTGAGCAATATACCCACGTTGAATAATATTTCCCGCCGAAGACTCTTCAATTTCCGCGCGACAAAAATTTATTCCTCGCATCGCCGACGATTTAACAGCAGGCTGCGACGCGAGACTTTGCGCGCACGCGGCTTACGGCGACGCAATATCACGTAGATGTTCCGTAACGACGTAACAAGCCGGATCCTCGGGAGCCTACGATGTTTTACGGGGGCGAAATTTATTCAAAGTTAAAGAACAGCCGCGCCGGAAGTTCGTACAATAATGCTTGATATATCCTCTTTAATATCCCGGGTTCTCGCGTCGACCTACAACAGCGGGAAATTCTCCACGGTAAAGTCTAATCCTTTATTCCCCCCGCGCGCTGGTCCTTCGCGTGCAAGAACGGGACACGTTACCGTGAAAATCCTCTTTGCCCGTGGAAAGTTCGCGCCCCGCGGATCCTCTCGACGCGGAACCGTCTTACGTGGGATGTCGTTTGCCGCGCGATCGAATTCCGGTCCCCCGGAAGTCGTCCATCGTCCGTTCACGTCTCGTAAGGATTTCCGTCTCGACCGCGGGATCGATCGATCGGACGGATGGGAAGCAGCGAGCAGACGACCAAACGGACGTTGTCTGCACTTTCACTCGGGAGGTCGCCGGGGGTTAACGACGAAAACTGTATCGTGTCATGGCGGGCGGGGGGAGGAACATTAGCATATAACCCGAACCGATGGTATCCGATGGAAAGTACCGTCTCGTCACGCTTTCGGTTGCTCCGCGGAGAACCGTTCCCTCCCGTTTCAGCGGATAGAAAATATGTCCGGGCCCGCGGGGTAATCGAGGGGGGGAGACGCGTCTCGTGTGAACGTAAAACGGAGCAGACGGGCGACGTTTCGTGTTCTTTGCTCCGTAACGGGTCGCTCCTTTCCTCCAATTAACGACTTTCCTAGCATCAAGACGTTTACGCTGTACCTGGCCCATCCTGGATGCCTCTCGAACGACTTTCCTGGGCAATAAATATTTTTTCGGAGCACTACACGCGTCGTTGACTTCGTACAGTGGCGGCCATTTGCGTACGTAAATGACTAAAGATCGTTCGTTGGCGTTTTAAGATATAGTTTCGATTATTTTCTTTCGTTCTATCATTCCGTCAAGTTTCGAGCCCCGTCCGTTTCCAGGAACGTTGAACTACAAAGCGCAACGGAGGATCCTCGTGCATCAAGGCATCCACTCCCAGCGTCGGTAACACTATAAACATCAAACGTTGATTGTAGTTCTGCAACGCTTAGAGTAGTTCGCGAACATCGTTTCCACCCCCGGAGGCGACAGCACCTCCGCGGGCTTATTAGATTCGGAACAACCATCTTTCTCATCTTTCACCGAACCACGGAAGACCCTCGCTCTTCGCGACTCGGAGTGCATTCGTCGCGTACATTCGCGTCTCCGGGGGTCTCTGCAAGCATCAAACAACAATATCTCCACCCCCAGAGCCCCGAGACAACGATCCTTCGCGGCGGATCCCCGCGTCAAAGTCTCCCCCCGACTCCCAAATCGTATCTGGCCCCGGGTATCCGTTTCTCAGAGGGCATCGGGTGATCGAATTCCCTATCGCGCCTTCCTCTCGAGCGTTCGCCGCGTACCAACGACCCGTTCGCGACACGTGGCGAGTGGCAGACGTGTGCAGCCGCGCGGATACCTGAAACTGCACCGGCAGATGCACCGTCGCGAAGACGAGGAAGGGCCCCGGTTGCACGGTTACGCGGAAGGTGACGTTTCTCGTGCACGCAGCACCGTAGGACGGGTTCGCAGGCGGAGCATTCGTGCTGGAAAGACCGCCTGCAGACCGCCCCTGTGCGTTTCGTTTCATCGCCGTCAATGTTGCGTGCAACGGGGTACACGACCGAGCGAAACCGGGGCTCCCGGATGGCGCTCACCTCGTACACGCTCGGTTGCAAGAGGTGTACCCGCGACTACGGAATCGCGAGCGTGAAGAAGGTTGTGCGCGAGGGAGCGGAACAATGGCTGCGTTTCCTGTATTCGAACTGAGGCTAGGTTTAATACGAAAACCCCCACCGAGAGGTCCGACTATCGTAAAATGGGTTAACAAGATGCTCCAAACGATCGAGAATACAGAATTCTGACGAATCTAGATATTCGAGATAGCTGAGAAATTGCACTTCACCGATCGGTAAAGTATTGAATCGCAAGATAGTTGCTAGCAATCCATCGAGAGATGCAACTATCGTGAAATGGGTTAACGCGTTCCCATTTGGAGTCACGAGATACTCCAAACGATCGAGAATACAGAATTCTGACGAATCTGGATATCTGAGATAGCTGAGAAATTGCAGAATAGCGGTAGCCTTACCGATCAGTAAAGTGTTAAATCGCAGGATAGTTGCTGGTAACCTGAGACTAGGGTCCCAAGTAATTGATGGGACTTTGAGTCGAGGGGAACAAACACTCTGATCGGAAGAATCGACGCGGTGGATTCTGGTCGAGAGGGTCTACCGGGCGTAGAACAATCGACATTCCAGATTCGTCGAGAAAGTCAGTATCGACAACGAGTCTGGCCCCTAGACGCTTGAATATTTTA